ATTTCAAAATTCAGTCTGACTTTCACGGGCTGTCCGCCTCAATTTTGGGAAATTCTAAAAGAGTGAGTGGCGTTTCTCCTTTCTGAATCCTTGCCTGGGGCATCCACTGGGCTACAGCATTTACAATTGGCCTTACATCATCGTGGGACTGAATCTGCATCACAAGTCGTGTCATCACCTCTGTCACTATCCAAGTGAGAAAATATGCCGTTACAATCTTAGTCCGCAGAGTCAGACGTTCACATGACGGATGGCTCGTCATGTTTGTGCTAGGACTACGACTGCGACGTATGCATATGATCCTGGACAGACGCAAGTCTCAACCACGTCTTTCAAACCAGGCAACTGCAAGGAAAAAATGACGAGGGACTGAGCTTAATGTAACGGAAATTTACTGAATCTAATAAAAGTGTTGCTTTTATAAACACATCTGTCTAATTCAGATTGCAAAAAGCCACTTATAGGCTACCACATGCAATGCATCAGCACGCTACACAGAATAAATGAGCTCAGAGCAATTTCAAAAGGGTGAGCCCTGCTTTAAACCAATCACACGTCAGTAACCAACAGCATCTGTTTGGACTCATTTGTAATTTAATCTCAAAGAAAATCATTTTACATTACAAAGTCTTCTGGTGATGTCACGTATGAAACATCCCACATTTACCTTGAAAAAATGACCCTAATTAATGCCGTTCGCTACAATGTGGCTTACAGAAAATGAACAGCAGAGGCAACCTTTAAACTCACAATGGGGAGTTTAAAGGATCAATGGTACTTAAATAATGAGGGCGTGTAATTCAAACACAAGTCTTAATATTTGAATTTTGTGAATATTGTCAACATGCATCTGTATTCTGCAGGAAGTGCTTCAAACAGAGCACCTGTCACAGATCTGAGGGCAGTTCAATAAATACGCAGTGGAGAGATCTTCACAGAGAGGGGGGGTGGGGGGTTAGGCCGACCTGTAAGAAAGCGAAACTTTCAGCTAACAGACCCTCACCGACTACTGAAATATGCCCTTTGGAACTGGAGATTCTGCCCTGAGGTGCGAAGCAGGCTTGTTTTGATTTCATCCTTGATTCAAACACAGACAAAAGTCATCAGACGACAACAAAAGAAAATCCTCCGAAAGTTTGGCAAAGCTAGAAACACATTACAGCGTAACAGCGAAAAAATCTAAACAACTGTTAGATGATGAGTGCAAAAACAAGCCCACACAGCGCTGCTAAATTGCACTTTTCTTCCCTCCGTCGCTGAACACGTCTCAGTGTGTTCATCATCAAACCGACGGAGGAGGTGGGCATTGTAAACGCAACCTCCCCGCCTCCCCTCCCCCATCGTCTCTCCTCTCTTCAAGGATCTAACCCAGCACCCAGTAATGAATAGATGTGGGGCCACCAATGACCGAAGCAGAGAGGGGCCGCTGATAATCCGCTCTGGACAGCAGAAACAGATCATTTCAATTTGAAATCTGTCGACTCGGAGGCAGACATCAGCAACACTGAAGTTAAACTTAACTATTCAGTTATTCTTTTTCAGCTTAAACGTAACATGGAAATGTAAAAATGTAAAATCTGATATGTGAGTGCAGCTCCACCGACTCTACGGTCACGTTCAGCTGGGGGAACTGAACTTGGAATCACCCCAGAGAAACGTGGTGTCAGGCTGCTGGCAGCAGAAGCCTCGGTGGGACTTGGTTTGCAGAGAAAGAGGACCTGAGCGAGCTAGTGGAGACTGAGGACAAATGTGCAATGGAGCAATTACCCTCACAGACAGACATCCACTCCCTAATTTCTATGCAAAACAGGAAAAAAAGAAGAAGAAGAAAGATCAGTGGGTCTTTGAGAGGAGGAAAAGGCAGGCATTTATCTTTCGCTCTGGTTGCCCCTGGTCAGGAGACTCCACCAGCTTTTGAGGGGGAGACGACGATGAAGAGAGCACTGCATTTGCATAAGAATACATGCCTATACTAACCCAGTTGGGGCGGGGGGGCGGCGTTTAATTCAGCAATGGCATTCACTTGTTGGGAATAATTTCTGTGCGTGGCCAGGGGAAGATTAGAATTAGTTTTCTCGTTGTGTAAGTGCAAGCAACGCGGGTTGTCCAACAGTGTGGAAAAGGGGCTTGGTGGTTTGTTCCCCTTACGTTCCTTCAATGGTGATTAAGAGTCTGACGTTAAAAGATCCCTTAAGTTTTCCGCCCTTCACTACTCCCATCTCTCTGGCTCACTCCTTCTCCCCTCATCTCCCTGGAGAGAAGGGATTACTGGCACACTGGTATACAGAAATGGCACTTGCTCAAAATTAAAAGACTTTCACAGGCTGCTAATCTAATGAGGGTGGAAAGGAGGGTGTGGGGGAATGAGCAAGCGCCATTTCAGCTGCTGAAATGAAAGGACAAGAGCGGATTTTCATGTTTACCGCCAACATTGCACTAAAGACAAAAAAAATAGAGGCTGGGGAAAAAAACAAAAAGAAAATAAAGCTTTTTCAAATTCCCAAGATGCCAAAGAAAAGAGAACAGAGAGAGTGTGGCGCTTAAAAGGCGACAACAGTTGTGACATTCCAGTTGAACGCACAGGTTGGAGTTATCTGTCAATTCGCACCTCAACAGGGAGGGGACCCAGAAGAGTCCATAAACACAAGTGTTCCTTCATCACCCTGCTTGCTCTGGGACACCTGAACAGAGACCCACACTCAGCTCGAGCTGGTGTCCTGGTGTTCAGGATGATCAGTTTCTACTTTATTAACATTCAATTGACTTTCTGTTGCGAGCTGAAATGAATAAAACCTGGAATCTGGGAACTGAGAAGTTTTCCTGCGCAGCAATTTTCAAGCAATTTATGTAACCGTGCGCTGGGCTGAAGACGGGAGCGTACAATCCCGTCGCTTCTTTACGATACGTCAGAACAGGAACGCAGACATGTGCAGGTGGGTTATAAAACGCTGCAACAAGATGCTGCAGCAGTTTGGAAAGATGCAGCTTTAGAAATTTGGGGTTGACTTGTTGAATTTGCAACCCCAAAGAAAACTTCTGACAAAGTTTCATTTGAAGCAACACATTTGCCTCAAAGTGACATCATTCTCAGTTTAAGTGCATTCCCATAGTAAAAGTCGGGAAAGCAAGGAAAACTGACATTGCTCCTCAGAAGGGTGAAGCCATTCATGCTGGCAGTACAACACTCCTGCAGCACGTTGATGGAGAGAGGCTGGTTAGTCCTCTGTGTGTCTTAATTAACCAGTCAGACACAAACAGCAGCATGTTTACATGCACTGCTGCCATCTTGGACTCTTAAGTCAGGGTTCATGCGGCGTCTCTGACTTGATCGGGTGTTCCAGTTGTAAATTCTGACTGAAAACTCGGAGATTCCGATTTCCGACTTCAAACAGAACGCGGCATTTGCCTCTGGTTTCCACTTCTACCAGTGGCAATGAGGCGGTTTTGTCTGAGTGGCAACAGTTGTTGTTCAGGACTGCTGCAAGTGCTCACACGCTCAGCGCTGGCATTAATGGTACAGAGCTGTCACAGGCCCAGCCCCACGAAAAGACCCAAAGACAAGGAAGGGGCAAAAAACCTCTATGACTGTCCGTGTCAAGATTAGTCCCAAGAGGAAAAGGCACAATGGAGGTTAATTAAAAATTCAAATAACACCACAACTAAAAGAAGAGCTGCCGAGAGTCCTGCAAAAGCATGATTCATCGTTTTGGTGTTAAAATACCTGGAAGGAAAAATAGCAGTCCAGGTTTTCTAGAAATATCTGATTACCTAACATCATCTCCTGAAACACTAAATATGTTTAATCTGCAGTGACCCCAGCAGCCTACATCAGAGGACCTGAGCCAAACACTTTGGGTTACTACCAGGACCTGTTAAGAGTTAAATGTGCTGCCCGTTGCAGCCTTCAGCTCCCATATTGAGGCTACTTCAGGCACAATGTCCCATAATGGGGGGGGGGTCACAGACAGGCTGTATTTAGCTCAGACTCCAAACTGCAATCTACATGGCAGAGAGCATGCATAAAGATGGCCTTTTCCCATCTTCCACCAGTAATTGCACTATTACTAAAAAAAAGTTAAATAAGAAGCAGAGCAGGGTCAGGGGTGGGGGTGCATGCATGGCTGCCCCTGCTCTGCTTCTTATACCTTCTTCCTTTTTTGTTAACCCTGTGCAAAACGGTGATATGTGACTTCCAACTTGCTTGTTCGCTGCTGATTCCTTAGGACCACTCAGACATGTTAACCCTGTTTTAAACACACAAGTAATAATAACACAGCGTGATGCCCAGTGTCTCCGGGGAGAGGGAGTTAGCCCTGCAGATGTTGGCACTACCAGTCTGGCTGGGTTATCAGTCAGAGAAGGGCAAAGGGTGGGGGCACTACGGAGGTGTTGGATTACAGATAGCGACACTTGCCTGAGGCTCGCAATTTCAGCGTACCTCCCGTGTGCCTACCTGACAATCAAGCGGTGACATCTGTATCATTTTTCATTGTACAACCAATAACGTTTCTTGATAGGGGGATGCATGTTCAAGTGCTTCTGTTACACAAGCTGCGAGTCCTCGACACTTTCTGCTATCTTTTACAGCCATTACTCATTTAGCTATGCAACCTTGGCTCAGTCTGACAGAGGCAGCAGAAGTAGAATTTCATATTCCTACAATAGCGTTTTGTCAGAGTCATTTCTCTGACAAAATAAAAGAACATTCCACTTTTACTCAATCATCATCTAAAAGAAAACCAAACAACTTGCCACACTATCTGTTCGTCTTTCTGCAGTAGTGTAAATGAACTGCTCTTAAACTGTAAGGGGCATCTCTTTATCAAACAGCCCTGCTCCTCTGAACTCTGTTACTAATCTGGCTATTATCCTATAACTGACTCCGACCTTCATAGAGAGAGGAAGCTTCAGAAATGCAATGCACCTAAACATTAAATGTAACATGCATTGCTTATTTATTCACATTAATGGCACTTCTGTGTATGCAAAAGAGTTCCCACCTGCAAGCTCGTTGTGGATGAGATCAGCAAAGTTTGGGTCGTCACCCCACCAGAAGAGCCAAAGCTCCCTCCGACCCTGCTGCTGGCATCTCCTCCACACGCTTAGTATATCAGCCTTCAGGCAGCGACTGAAGCTGCACAGGATGGGGTCCTCCTCCGTCACCGGGAAGAGGATTGGTGCAGAGGTGGGACCCTGCCACACAAACCTCTTCCATTTGATCCCTGTCAAGTCAGCCTGCAAGACAGGAGAGAGGGGGGGGAGAGAGAGAGAGAGAAACTGTTAGTGTGCAGAGTCGCTGCTTTGGGACCCACTCAGCACCTCTGAGGAAACATGTGGTGAGCAGAGTGTTAAGAGTAAGTATTAATCCTCTTTTATGGGGGTTTTCACCCCCTAACTATCCTGACAACACCCCATGCTGTCGAGACCGGAAGGAGAAAACATTTCGCTACAGACGCAAACGAGAAACAGCCGCAAACAAAGTGGGACATTCGACCGTTTCTGTAAAAGATCTTGTACTTAATGTTTCAGCTGCTTTCAAAGTGATCATGAAAGACATGTTGGAAACACTCAGGAGAAAACTAATGCTGGTAAATGTGGTCTCACCAGCTTAATCCTCATTATTGGTGAGTACTGTGTGTGTGTGTGTGTGTGGGGGGGGCGCTTTCTATAAACACTGTCTGGCTTTTATAAAGAGAACAAAACACACAGGAAAAAGCCTCATAGGCAGTAAATCACTGGTGGGGTTATTAAGTGTTAAAACAGGAACATTACGCTCTGCTGCTGGCTGCCGCTGCAGCTTATCACCCAAGCGCTGACTGACTACCCATGTCTACCTAAACACATGCACACGTGGTAACTACCATAAAAAAATACACACACAATGCCTTAGGGGCACATCATTTTAAGTAATCTTTGACAACACAGACTGTTCATCTTCCCACCATTTAGTTTCATTTCGTTCTGGCCGAGTTGGCAAGCTGTCTGTCTGTCTGTATATTCAACCAATTAAGCCATTACAGTTCAAGGGACGTCCTAATTCAAGTGCAAAGGCGCTGAGCCAGAGCAAGTGATTACCAGCGGTTGTGGTCAAGCAGTGGCGTTAGCGTTATGGTGTTAGCTGGGACAGGGAGGCATTGTGTTGTGTCAGCTGGGGCCGAGTTGGATCACAACAACAAGTTAGGAGATCAAGACACCATGAATATTTCCACCCACAAGCAGAAAAGAATAAAAAAAAACATCAGTTTAAGTAGGAATCCTGTAAACGCTCGCTATATGATACAGCAAGCAACAAACAGCCTGGCTGCTTGTTCAAATACAGACAAGCTCCACCACTAAACCGAGAGTCAAACACAAAAAAGCCCGAGGTTGCTTTATAGTCATGTATGATCAAAACCCCATGGTCTCTGATGCACAAGCAGACTCCTGGGGAATTCAAAGCAGCTGCACATGCTGAGGACAAACTCCAAGATTTAAACAGCAGAAACGGGTCTGTGTACAACTGTGTGTAACAGAGCTGCAGCAGTTAGGCCGCTCCTTCCTGCTGGAGTGCGAGAAGCGCTTCTTTACACCTGCACCTCGCTCGGAAACATCTGTGCACACAATGCAAAGGGAGGGCGAAGACAACGGTTAACTGTGAAACCAGATCATAGGCAGTACAGATAGGCAATTAGCAAGTGAACAGCCCTCATCAGCTTACTGACCGTGGCCTGTCCCCCATGGCATTGTGCATTTCACCATATAAAAGGTTTTGGTCTTGAGTGCACTACAGATTTTATTACAGGCCTCTCACACTCATCCATATTGGTTTCACACATTTAGAAGTGATTATGTGCTGCACACAGTCTGCAAGTCGGTCGCGGCACATCAGCCGTTACTCAGACAAGTTTCTCGGTATGTTGGCAATAATGAATTAATGCCAATACAGTTTGTATGATTATCTTTTCCAGATACTTGCACCATCTGAAATATTTCCTGTGAGATTTGTTTAGATAACTGTCGAGCCTTCTGTGGAGAAACACTGAAAACACAACTGGAATAAGCATTACCTTGACATTTTGCTATTGCTGAGTTATCTTAAGCAAGCAAGCAATAAAAAGCCTTCCCTGGATTTACATAGTGGCTACAGGGCTCTTCTATCTAATCACTTCCTACTCTGTTCTTTCACATAAGTATTACATTCACAGGCAATTAAGCGGTTGTAATCTATAATAAAACAATAAAGATCATTAATATTTAGTCAATTAAGTGAAAATGTATTTCTGACAATTTCCTTAAAAAAAAAAAAAAAAGAGGCTTAACTATACTGTGTTGCACTTAAATGCATAAAAACTGATCAGCTGAGAAGATTAAACAGTTGGTTAACTCTACCTGCTAATGCCAAAGTCACTGCTAAAACATGAATGAATGAATGAAACAGAACATTTTCATCTTACTCTGCAGCTGCAGCCATCAGCTGTTTGTTACACACTTTCTTGTACTGAGGTTAATGTGCAGTTTGCAATCAAATTACAACTCAGAATAATAAAAGTTAAAAACACCACACACACAAATTGTTTCAGTGAAAAAGTAACTGCCTGCCTTCGTGCATGTTTTTGTTTTTTTTAAATCTGACACTTCCAAACCTTGATATGCGACTTTATGATTAACAGAAACTTTATCAAACTGCTGCAGCCTCCTCTATTCTTTTATTTACTTTGCAATAAATGATCCCTGTTACACAATGCAACAACTTAACAGGGCTGTCAATGTTATCACAGCCTCATCCTTATCTAGAAGGTGAAAATATGGTGAATCGGTTCAACAGTGAAATGCTGTTAGTCAAAAACTACGGTGCTGAGTTTGATGAAGCTTGTCCACAGTGTAGGACAACTTATGCAACGCGTTAAGTGAACCCTTAGCAAATGTTTCTGCTATGGCTTCATATCTGTCCGTGGACACATTTTCTTACACAAACGAAATAAACGAAAAATTTTGACTTGAACCCTAACGTAACATGGACCGAGCTACTCAACGTGCAGAGGGGGAGTTCCTCTGGTCTATTCCACTGACAATAGGATTGCCAAGCAAAGACCACAAAAAGCAGCTCTATTTTATCGACACATCTGTACCCGCTAAGCTTACTGGGAAGAATCGGATAAGAAGATGTCTCAAGCCACTTAGTAATAAAAACCAGTCTCCTCCTGCAAGATGTCAAGCAGAATCTGCTTTGTTTAGACGGGAAGTAAGCCAAATAGTTCTACTGCTGATTCATAACGGATGGACTCAATGAAGACGAATGTAAATTATAATTCTTCAAACACCACAACATCAAATGCTAAAAGTCCATCTTTGCATTTATAGATGATCAAATCGTCTCTGTGTGCATGTGATAAAGTTCTCGGCAGCACTGCTGGCCAGTGACGTTCTGTCGTTTGAGTTTGAGCGCAACCTTTAAACAACATGTGGAAGGCTTTTATACAACCTGTTTCTTAAACAAGTAATCTCTCAGGGTGCACAGATGCACAGTTGGCTACATCAGTTAGGAATTACACTGGTGTTAAATTACATTTGCAACTCATGTAGTTCAAACCTTCAGTCAGCCTGCTTACAGTTTGTTTCCCTGTTTTGTCTTAGCTGTCATAACAGTCTTTAACCTGACACAAAACACATGTGACAGTGTACTAAATCAAACCACATATTTCCCTTTGTCCTTAGATTCTCCTGAGCTTCAAGAGGCAAGAGACTGAAGGCCGGACACATCAGTACTTTGCCTCCCATCAACAATATCCAACAGGCAGACTGCTCTATCAAGGATAAATGTGCCTTCTGCAATTGTTCTGTCTGTGCTTTCAAAATAAATTAGTTGCAGCTTGTGTGTGTGTGCGCAAGAAAAAAAAAAGAACAGGGGATGCCAAGGATATCTGTATTTCCTTCCAACATTCATGCTGTCCCGGCTGTGTGCACGAGTGTGCCTTGAACATTTCAGGCGCCCGTCTGTGTCTTAGTAAATGCTCAGGTATGTGAGCAGCAGCTTATACAGATGTCCCAGCAGCGTAGGCGATGTGGGTCACGAGAAGTTTTGTCTTTCATATGCCAAACCAGAAAAATCACACTGCTGCATTACGAGGGAAGCTAAGGCCAAAAAGCCAGTGGATACAGGCAGGAAGTTTGCCTGAGGTGATGCGTGCTCAGGGGAGGTTATGACCCCTGCTTTTGCCAGCTGCTCACCTTCCCTCCAGCAACTTAAGAGTTCTGGGTCTTGGTATGGGAACACTGTGTTCGAGCAGATGCCTTTCAAGATAAGAGACAAGCAACAGGTGAAGCTTCACTAATCATACCACATATGCTCCTTTCATAGCAAGCCCCTCTTCCACCGTTAACTCTGTCAGGAAACAAACCTGAAACTACCAAGTGTGAGTTTGCATTTCGAGTTCAGGCGAATGCAAAAATTCAATCAGTTTCAACTGATGCACATCGCTGAAAGGAAGATCTCTGCCAAGTGGTTCTTTAGAGTTTACAGCCTTCTCCAGCTCATAAATGTATCGCAGGTCCAACTATAAATTTCACAACAAGGCAGCCGCAATTGTGTTTCATAGTGGAGGAACAGATAAATTTACCTTACACTCTGAGTTATTCCAAGTAAGCCCACTTTAAAAATGCCAAGAAGAAAAAAGAAAAAACAGCATGCAACAAGTAGTATCATACTCCAGAGGAGAGTATCCACGGAAAAATGAACGGGGGGGAGAGACTACCACAAAGTCTTCGCATTCTTTCACCATAAAACCACAAAGTGGAGTCTGTTCAGTAAGTGAGTCATAACAGCAGTGGTGTTATGCTTAGTCTCAGTGTGCAGGAAAATGTCAGCCAGACAGGCACAGCACCACAACTACCAGCCTCTATCTCGCCTGTACACTGTAGCCAACGCTGCCTTCAAGTGCTGTCGTAAACATTGTAATTATGAGTTCAGCACACACAATCGACCCAACAGAGTAGTACTGAGAGAGTGGGGATTTTCTGCAGCGAAACGTTACCTTTAGGGGGTGGACAGCTGTGTCAATTTGTGGTAAGAACAGTGTAATATTTCACTTAACTGTTATTATGCTAGATTCTGTGTCAGAATTACTTGTGATGCACTTGTAGGCTCACTTCTTGTTTGACGTTTTCATGTAATAATAATATAATAACTCTAATAATAACATTAACAAACTGAGTCACAATCTATGCACTTTGCAGCCTTGCCACTGCACCACAGAGTGGTTTCTATGCCATTTAATCTATAAGAGAAGTCTCCTTTTTCTAAAGGGTGCATTTCAGCACTTGACAATCACATTAACAATTTCCTGGGGTTGGAGACGAGCACATTGTGCTCCTCGGCTAACCTACAAGTGAAACTGGAGTTAAGCCTGCTGACAAGCCAATTAACTGCAACAACAAACACATTCAGACCGTGTTCCTGATTATCCCAGAGACGCTCTGCTCAAGCAGCACCTTTACATTTGCTGCTGTGGCTAAGACTGTAGACCACACGATTGGCTCTTAGTGCATGGGATTTAAAAGAATACTGGGGAGCTTTGAGCGGCTAGGAGCATAACCACAACTATTTAGGGTGATGCCAACTAGCCACAACTGGCAAGATGCTGATGGTGGTGGTAGGTGTAGAAAGTTAGGTGTAGCTGAGGTGTGTAGCTTCCCCGTGTGATGTAGTGCCCAGGGATGAATGCCACAGATTATATAATCAGCCTGGGGCCTGTGCCCTAGTTGGTGTGAATACTAGAAAATGAGGTCCAAGGAGATTAAATCCACCAATAAACAAGATGATGACATAATACATAAGTGGTTGCAAACAGACAACTGCGGCGGTAATATCAGTAACATGCCTGTTAAAAGGAAAGAGCTTTCGAGACAAGACTTATTAAGGGGCGTGTTTCTATCGACAGGCTCTGGAAGTTGGGCAACGGCATTCTTTCATCCAGGAGTTGTCAGTGCCACACAAACACACACACGGGGAGGAAAATAGTATTCAAAGGCACCACAGCGTCAGACTCTGACTAAACGCCACAAACTGAAGTCCATGAAATGTTTGGTTTACGGGTCAACACTCGATAAAACACAGTGGAAATGCGACGCGAAAGAGGCAGCAAGTTAATAATAAACAAGGTGTTGAGGCGAAAGGAGAGAAAGTGCTACAACTCCACTCTGGGCAGCACGGTCCTGCCTCTGGCAGTAAAGTGCACAACATTTATTTCCATGCTAACAAGATTATATGCTGCTCTGTATGTGTGTGTGTGTCTTATGACATAAAGTAAATGAAGCTTTGCAAGCCACTAGCGTTAACCTCAAGTGTGTTGTTTGTGAACTGGGAAACGGAAATGTAATGGAAAGAAGATTATAATAGGCAAGCTGTCACACCTGGGGCCAAACTTACTAAAAAAAACAAGCGTACGCGGTAATATTAGCAAAGTGGGACACCTTGTTGTCCTAAAACGATGCCAGCTTCGACAGGGCCGTAAGCCTAGCTAAGCTGCTATCAACTGATGCCTCTGTGGCTAGCGTTAGCTTAGCCCCCGTTCAGCTAGTTAAAAATGGCTGCTTTCCTTTAGTTTTAAATCTCTTACCAGACAGAATAGATTGGAATGGCAATCCTCCAAGCTGGCCCCGTTTGGTACAAAACAAGAACTCATCCTTCTTCACTGCGAAATCCAACTCTCCATCATTTCACTTCCCGGGAAATTAAAATAAAAACAATTTGCGGATCGGTGTTTTCTAAGATGTACAGGCTTAATCAGCGAGAAATATTTTTTCTAACATTTGGCTGGAGGATAGTTAATTCAACAACCTTCCGATTACAGTTTCCTCCCACCGGAGATAAAAGCGGATAAAAAAGACAGCGTGGTCTTTAAGTCGACATGTCAAAAGCACACAGTAAAACCGCGTTCAAGGAAGCGAAAAATGTTCATAAAACAAAAAGAAAAGGAGAGCAAAGAAGCAACTCTCCCCCTCCCCCTTAGCCCTAAAACGGTCTCCGCTTAAAAAAATAAAAACGTCCTGTCTCACTCCTCCATCGCAAAATTTAGCCTAAAATCGAAACACATCCTGTAGCAACCTCTCGAATTCTGGCACCGGCCTATATTTTAACGATTATTTCGATCATTATTTCAGCCTCGGTTCCTGTTGGTTTCCATTTGAATTCATGGATTCCTTTCTTTAATGGCGGCCACAGGGACAACTCTGCCTTCCACAGCCTATTGGCTCATTCGTGGTCAAATCTTTGGCAAGTTAGCCGTCCACGTGCAGACACGCGTCAGACTGTAAGGTGCACTTCCGGAAAAATAAAAGCATGCAATTATTCCTCTTCACAATTGCAGTAATATCATAAACACGTGGTTATGAAAAAGATATTGAACACTATAATTATTACATGTGGGATTTCTATTTATTCACCAAAATAATGCATTTGTTTGTTTTTCACATGCAACATGTCAAAAGAGAGCCTGCAAAATTTTTTTTACCGCTCATGGACGTCTTACTTTGAAAGTCACGACAACGACTTTCGCTTTTAGTGCAGTTGCTTTGACACTGTCGTGGTCATGAGGGCTGTAATAACACAAGACTGATAGGTATTGCCGCTGGGCCAGCGCAAGTGGCGCTACTGAGCAACAGATTTTGTTACTAATGATCAAACCCTATAAACTTGCTCACTTACACAGTGCACCACCTAGCGCATGTGATGTTGCACTTGCAATTGAAATGCACGACCAAAAAGAATTGATGCGAATTCTTTTTTTTTTTTACTTTATTCAAAGCAGTAGTTAAACATTGTGTAGCTCGAGCGACGAAATGAAAGCAGTCAAATCTCATATTTATAAGGCGCTGCACTGCAGGAATGCAACACGTGAAAGAAATGTAAGAAGCAAAAGTTCAATTCATGAATAAATGAAATAAAAATCGTTGTTGATGCCGTTGCAATATAGCAGAGGATGTTCCACACAGTCTTCCTAAAGTGTGTCGTTAAGGATGCTGTTTGTTTATACAAATTCCAAATCAAAGAGAGAGTAAAGTTACACTGTAGGGTGTTTCATTAGGTTTGAAACAAGAGAACCGTAAGATCCAAGCAAATACATCGCTCACTATAAAAAGGCCACATCTCTACTCATCACACCATCTGACAGGGAGCCCTGATAGGGTTCAGGGGGTGTTGCATTTGAGTACCACCAACTACAGCACACAGACCGGGGTAATTACTGTATGTTCTTTTCAAATTCTTCTCTGTAAGAAAAGCTTTAAAGAACTTCCACTTTAAATTGTCTGAAGTACAGAGTAATAGATTGACATCTAGATAGACTTCTAAATCCTGCACCTCTGATCTCATCCAGCCAGGATCCAAGTTGGTGCTGGGCCAAATTAAAAGGATTTCAATTAGTGCTGCAAACAGTATGCAAAATAAACCCAGTTAACTCATTTGTCCCTGTGTTCTGTGTATTGTAGTGTGCATCAAGCTTAAGGTTATCTGTTTTTAGAGAGCCTTTGTTTCTGCTTCACTATGTATATTTGTCATCTGCATCTCTACATAATGTTTTTTAACAGTCAATTTTTAATAAATGTATTTAAACCCATATGACTGGTCACCTTAAAAAAATTAAACTCAGCCAGAGTTTGTTTCCTTTTTAATCCTTAAGTCGTCTACTCCTCCTAAGCAGTGTAGGTTCATGGAATACTAATACTGTTTTTTGCAGTTGGCTGTTCCTAATTAGATTACAGTGTAAGCTGTCTTTAGTCATAATTTCTTTAAAGAAATGAATGGCCGATGGTTGGGTAGCCAGCCCCTTTTGTTTCTGTTATACAGAGATTCATCCACAGGGATTTGCAGTTCCTAAGTGCTCATTTTGGAATAATCATATATCTCATCATATCACGTATTGTTTCCTTTGATCCCAACATAAGAACATGTCTCTGTTTTTCCAAAATTCCTATGTTTATGACATTATAACAGCATTTGTGGACTTTTGTATAAGCCTGCAATAATGCGCTTACATAATTCAGACCTGAAAGCTGCCTGCAGCAGTTCATTTCCTGTGTGCCCCGGATAAGTATAAGTGACATCTGCTGTTCACGAGACTTACAGTGAGAACAGGGAAACAGAAAAGCGGCGATGATCCTGAGAGCAGAAGCAGCCGGCTGCTGCTGAAACACTGATGGAGTCACAGTGTGGTCGTCTGAAGAGAACATGTGAAGAAAGCGATTTGTTCCCAGACCTTATGAGGAGAAATGTTCACTAAGATCACCTGCAGAACATGAAAACTGTGCACACTCGAAGCAAGTGACATTCTCTTTGATCATTTCTTCTGTTTCCATCTTTCACACTTTGCTCACGTCTGTTTGATTTGTGCCTGAACCAAAATTATATTTGTTCACTGTTTAGACAGAGAGCATTTAACAAAGCTATGTTAATTGTTCATGTTCTTAAATGCATTACAGATGCAACATATATAACAAGAGTTTTAGCTCGCTCTGTGCACTCCCCAAAGCTCTGCAAAATCAGCTTCGTCTTTCATCTGATCCTAAAGGGCTGCGTAGCTTCTTAAACCTTAAATCTTCCCATAGGAATGGATGTTAATCTCACTTCCAGAGCTTCCCACGCTTTATCATCAGTCCTTGATACGAAAAACAATTGTGGCATGATACCATCTGTATAAGACTGTTTAACAGAAATGGAAAAAAAAAAAACATCTAATAGTGAAGTCGATGAGCACAGTTGTCATACCAGAGAAACTAATGTGGGTAACAGATTGCGATCATATCTGCCGATAGTTTTCTCTTACTTATCTCCAGCTCCCTCTTATCTGAGCCCCACAGAGACTTTCTGTCACATATATTCTATCCCAGCAGCGCGAAAGCATATTGGGGAAAGGAGAGTTTAGGATAGTCTGAATTTGGCCGACTGCTTCTTTGACATTTGATTTGACATGCTCTGTGGTCCCTGCCAGTCTGCTGTAGGAGCGTTTGTCAAAGTTCCCCTGTGTCTCTAAATCCTGCGTGAAAAAGTGAACATAAAATCTGTTCAATTTAGCCAGAAGAAAAACATTGGCTGGATTTAATGAGGGGCTGCGGTCAGATAAGACAGTAAAATATTACAGTACTGGATGGAAAAATAGCCTGATTATCATTAAACATGCTGAAACGATAAATCATGAAACACAGAGTGCAGAAATGCAACACAAACCTTTGGTATGTTTTCTGCTTTGTGTGTGTTTGCTCTTGTTCTCGAGTATGTCCTGTGGCCTTAGGCATGAGACAAGAAACAAGACAAACAATGCTGCTACTGAAAGATCGTAACAGTCATGTGAAGTATTTGAAAAGCTTTCTGTAAATCAATGAAAGTGACCACCCAGGCAGGAAGAGGTTTTCCCCTCCACGGGCAGACGAGGCACCCGGCAGCTAAGAGCACGACTCCGAGGTCCAGAGTTCAACAGTGTAACTTGTGTTTACGGAGGCTAAGTGGTAATATCCCACTCTTAGCCTCTGCAGAGGTTAGTTATGAAGAGGGTCAACAACTGTGCCACGTTCAAATAAAGCCACCCCCCTCCCAGCCGCCATGTTAATGCGCATGGAGATATATGTTGTCTTTGCTCCCCCTGCTTCCTTCCTTCCTTGGCTCCTTCCCCAAGTGCTCATAATTAGCCACCACAAATAGTGAGAATAGCCGCTTACTCTGTTCATTCACTCAAACGATGACATATGGCATCGACTGCAAAGTTATTGACACAGAAGAAGAAAAACGTCAGGCGTGCCGAGGTTGTGTGTGAAATGTAATATTCTGAGACGGTAATCACCCTCTTCATAATCCACGCTGAGGGAGAACATAACATCGAGGTGGCTTAAAACATTTGCATGTGTTACTTCATTCATCTGAAAGAATTAGTCATATAAGGAGGAAACAGACAAGTAAATGCATGTAAACTAAAACACTACAACTGTGTGTTGATGAGGCTGACTCACAGACAGAGGGGGATAAATCTAACACGAACATAAAACATAATGATGCAGGCAATGAAAATAAAGACACAAAGCCTGACCTGTGAGGTGGAGGACTCATCATGCACTGCAGCATTTAATTGGCCCTTGTTCGGTTTGTGTCCAGACGTATTTAGAATTCATTATTAAAATGAGTTTTGTTGAACAAGTTTCTGTCAACGGTGAACAGAGTGTGCAGTGTGCAGTCTTTATAAAGGGCTTCACTGTGCGTTTGCTCTTTTAGATCTCTGCAAAGATGCAGAATAAGCCGTGCACCTTTTCAGTGGGGTGAAAGATCCCATAAGGAAAGTGAAAGAATGAAACGAAATACGTGAGACTAATGGTTGGCGGAGAGCTCGAGGCCTGCAGATCAGGTACGTGTGGAACGAGAAAGTACAGCGTGTAACGCACGAGCTGACTGATGGGTGTTCAAGGAAGATTTTCACCCAAATCAGCAAGTTCTGCTTTACTCCACCATCCTGCTGCTACTCAGCTCGACTTAAACTTGGCCTGAGCTTGAATGGGAACTTCCCAGCAGCCCCTCCCACTAACAGAAGAACATAAAGCAAAGCCAATTGAAAGCTTTTTTTGTTTTTTTAATGATAACACGAGCCTTCTTGTTATTAGCTTGAAAGGGCTGCAGAGTGCTGAGGACGCAGAGCAGTTGGCTGCGTGCCCTCAAAGCGGGCAGTAGTGTGTAAAGGCTTGCTGAGTGAGGGCATCATGAATAGCTGATCGTGAACTACAAGTGTTGTAGCTGAGAAAAGTGCATGCTTTTAGACTGTTTGCACAAGCGATGGATAAACTTGTTTTCTGTCAGCTGACACCTGCTCACTTCCAGCTCTGCGCTTTGTAACAGGACCGTGTGATCCAACACAGAGTCTCTTCAGAAACAGCGCGACGTCAAACGGCGTTACTCAGAGACAGTTAGGCAGAGAGCTGCCCTTTGTTGAGTCACTTCTGGAGCTAAATAGTGTGAAGTGCTTGTCAGCTCGGTCGCTGCGACAATGCTTGGCTTCTCTATCTGGGGTGAGGTCTAGCTGAGGTTAGCGCCGCGCTCCCTCCCTTGATGGAGCCGAGGGTTAGTTGTTCGGGTGCTGCCCCTGAGCACACAGGAACATTCCAGGCGCACAAATAAAGCCGTGGCTGTGCCTTTGTTGCAGTGCTGACTAGACAAGAGCCTTTCTGCAGGGCTGCTGCCTTTAAAAAGGCGAAGTCGTGCATCCCTGCTGGTAA